CATCACTCTGCTCTCCTCCCCACTGAGAGCTGGTGTGTGGGGAGCGGACTGGTGCATCATCCAGGTGGGGCTGCACACTGGTGGGTGTGGAGGGGATCCCCATTACCTGTAAAGCGCTTTGAGTGGAGTGTCCCGAACAGCGCTATAGAAGTGTAATTGTTATTATTATTATAACAGCCAGACAAAACCAGCCACAGGGTTGGTACTCGTCTGACCTCAGGATAGAGATCTGTGTGCAGGGCTTCATAACTGCCCAGCACATTCTGTTCTTGAAATAAAAATTAAAGAGCAGCAACAAAGAAAAACCACAGGACTTTGGTTTCTGAAACCTAACACAGGGCCTCCTCAAGCACGGGGATGCAGGGTGCAGCTCATCTGCTTTTTAGACGATCCTGACTATGGGGCTCCTGCCTGTGGGCACGGATAACGTTTGGTCCCTCTTGAAGAGCAGAACCGGGGCTCTGTGCACCGAGCCGCGCGCCTCCCAGCGCCGAGAACGGAACCGCTCGGGGCCCGGGCTTCCTGTCTCTTTAAAAGGGGGCGGGGCGAGCCGGCTGGCCAATGGGGCGCCGCGCCTGTGATGTCATCGAGGAAGGCAGAAAGCATGGCTTTTTCAAACAAAGGACAATGGCTGATGGCTGAGCCGCCGCAGCTCTGCTCAGAGGGACCTTCAAGTGCGCCGAGAGCAGCGACCGGGTCACCGCACGGGGCCTGAAGAACAGGTGACAGGGGCGGTGTGAGCCACCCGTCCGGGCTGCCCTGAGGAATGCGCGCTCCAGCGCCCTGCTCAGTGTGGGCACCGACTGCGGCACGCCGGGCCGCTCCATGACGGCTCTCGCCTCTTTCTACAGCGTTTTGACAAATGCTGTTCAGAAATCTTTGCAGCAGGGACCTGCACCCAAGAGCGGCCCCACGCGTGTCCGCGTCCTTTGTTCGGGACCACCGCAGACATGCCCAGACTCCTTGAGCACTACTGTCTGGCACGTCCACCCCACCCTCCCCCCAGCGCCCCCCGCCCTGACCCTGGACTCGCACCCGGGCCGCGCTGGTGGAAAAGGCGCCCGTCCGACTCTACCTTGCGTGTGCGCGCAGCCCCCCAAAACACACAGCCGCCGCCCCCCCACGTCCCGTCCACCGCGAGCCCAGCAGAGCCAGGACCCCTCGCGGTCCGGGCGCGGATGTCGCACAAAGACAGACCGGCTCCCCCCCGACACACCGCCCCCCGGTCGCGGCGCTGGCAGCCGGGAAGCTCAGCCTACCTTGTCGCCCCACGATCTCCGCCACATGCTCGGAGCTGGGCACGGGCACGCACTCCGTCATGTTGACGCTGCGCTTGCGGCTCCCGATCACGGCGGCGCCCGGGTCGCCCAGCATGGAGCCCCCGTCCAGGTGGAAGCCGGCGGGGCAGTAGATCTCGGTCGGGGGCGAGCAGGAGGGCGGGGAGCCCGGAGGCTCCAGGATCTGCAGGCCGGCGAACCCCACACCCCCCGGGACGGGCTCCACCGCCGGCGCGGGGTCCAGGGCATCAGCCCGTCCTGCCCCGCCGCAGTCCAGCCGCTCCCCCGCCAGGAGCGACAGCTGGCCCAGGGCGAAGCGGAGGCTCTCCTGCGGCTCCCCGTCCTGGGACCCCGGCTCCGGGTCGGCGCCCAGGAGGATGCCGGCGTGCGGGCTGCCGACGCCCGTCTCAGTGTCCATGATGTCTGGGTGGAACAGGGAGCTGGGCATGTTCCCCGAGCGCCACCATAGGGCCGCCCAGCCCGCCCTCGGCCGACCGCTGGCTGCCGGCGCGGTCCCGGGCCGCGCGGGGGGGTGTCCGGGGCAGAAGGCGAGTCCTCGCGCCCGCTGGGCTCCCGCTCCGGTCTCGCTCGTCCTCTGGCCGCCGCGCGCTCACCCCCTCGCCCTCGCGCGCCCCATTGTTTCTCTCTTCCACGTGGCCGGCCGGCCGGGTCGCGGGGCTGCGCTCCCGAGGAAAGCCCGATGGTCAGAGACACCCCGAGCTCCGGCGCCCCTTTGTCCTCGCGGGGCTCGGCCAGGTCCCTCGCGGAGGGGTGGGGTGAGGGGGGCGGCGGGTTCGGGAACGGCTGCCGCTGTTCTTGTCTTTCCCAGCGACAAGAACAGCGAAGTCTGCTTTGTCCTGCCTTCCCACTGCTCTCTTTAAAAAAAAAATGTTCAGAAGCTTTTCTTTCACTCACTTCTCTCGCCCTCCCTCGGTCTCCGAGCTGAGGAAAGAGGGGTGCGGGTAATTTTTTTGTGGGCGCTACAGGAAAGCGTGTGTTCTGGAAGGGACAGCTGGGTATGGGCTCGCTGAGTGTTGTTTCCCCGGACGGCTCTTCTTTCCGGCCTGTGTCTCTCTCTCTCTTTCACCTTCCTAACTGTCTCTCCACCTTTCCTTCTCTCACTCAGCGTCTCCCTCTCTCCGGGCTCCCGTCCGCCTCCTTTGTCTCGCCTGGCGCACCGCACGCCGCTCAGCCCGTCTCCCCGCACACGGCGGTGACGTCACCTTTGACACAACAATGGGTTCAAAGGCCACGCAACAGAGGCACGCTTGACAAGCGGCACGCACGACGTCGTCGCGGCGGCGGCGGCGGGGGGGGCGTGGCTGTGCGGACGCCAGACGTGCTGGGCGTGGCCTGTTGCTGGCTCGTTTTTTTGAAGCGGTGTCCGCGCGCTGCCCCGTGCACCCACTCAAATCACGCGCCCAGCATGCTGGAATATTTAGACGTGTATTCGCCGTCTGGAGGTCGAGTCACACACTGTAACATCACAGCTTTAACCAGAAAAGACACGGTAATCGCACGACACAAAGGACTGCATCAAATCCGAGCCCCGCTCTGTGATCTTAACGGGCGAAGCGCCGGAGCGGGGAGATGTCCGTGGGCGGGACACGCGAGCTGTCCTGCTTCTAGATCAGCTGCTGAACCCACTTCCACACCTGAGACACCCGGGTCTGGCAGGACAGGACGGCCAGACTGCGACCTCAGTATCCGCTGCCCTCCGATTGCAGTTCCTGTCGGCTCCCAGGAAATCTCGCACACTTGTCCTCAGGCTCGGTTAGCTGATTGTGGCCCAGAGGGACACAGCGCCACCCCTGGGTCCACCACCAGCGATAGCACCCAGCCCTGCGGTCCTGCCGCCATCGAACCGGATCAGGCTGCAAGGCGCTTCCGAGCGCCGGTGTCTGAATCCATCGCAGCCCCTGCCGGCACTCGGGCTCCACGCTGACGCGAGGGGTCTCGCCTCCCTGTCCACCGGTATATACATCCCGGATCAGACCGCAGGCTTTGTCATCACAGCACGTGTCTGAATTCCTTAGTGAAAAAGGCGAAGCTGCACGATTTTACCACTGGATGTCTCCACCCTCTTAACCTGTCTGTTATCCTTCCAGTTGAGGATTTAAGATGAGATCACTTTATTGGCCATATACAATTTCTTACATTAGGAATTTGTCTTTTCGCATACCCCAGCTTGCTCTCCATGAGACACACAGACAGGGAGAGAAGCTGGGGGTCAGAGCGCAGGGTCAGCCATTTATACAGCGCCCCTGGAGCAGTTGGGGTTAAGGGCCTTGCTCAGGGGCCCAACAGAGTAGGATTCCTCTACCGGCTTGAACCGGCAACCTTCCAGCCACAGGCGCAGATCGTGAGCCCCAGCTCCGCCCGTATTTGAAGGGCGTGGGGTCCTGCACTCGAGTCCAGACAGCGGTGCCATCTGTGTGGAGTCCGCGTGTCGTCTATGCGAGTGTCCCTCAAGCTGTCCTCCCTCCACCCAGAGGCAGAGCAGCAGTCTGGCTCATCCCCCTCTTCCTCGCCTCCCCCCCCAGTGAAGACGGGCACACGGGGGTCCCACCTCGCCAGACCATGACCTGGGTAAACTAAAACCCCGCGGGGCTCACAGACCCCTCTTGGCCACGGCAGCCACACCGAAATACTTTAATCTCCTCGTCCACCCGCAGGCAGAGACCGCCCGGAACGAGCCACAGACACAAGCAGGCCAGACAACAGTCGTTTATTTATAAAAGTTTGTATTTGGATTTTACAAAATGCTGGTATGGGACAGGAAGCGCGCGGCGCTGGGGCTCGTCCGCGGCAGCGCGTCCTCGTCCCCGCGCCGGTCTCGGGGCGACCCTGCGCGCCGGAGGGGAACCCCGCTCGGGCGGCGGCTCCAGAGCGAGGCTCCCGGGCCGGGCTGCTCCGGCTCTGGAGTCCAGAGTGACCGGGGGTGCGAGAGCGTGTGCACGTCGTCACACACGCGTGTGTGCAGATGTGTGTGTGTGTGAGTGTGCGCACGTGTGTACAAGAGCGTGTACCCAACTACGTGGATGTGTGTGTGTCCGCGTGCGAGTGTGTGCACACTTGTACGTGTGTGTGCGTGTGTGTGTGTGTGTTTGTACGTGTGCAGCTGGTCAGGTGACACTGAACCCCAGAAGGCCGAGAGCAGCTGAACACTTCAGCCCCGGAACACAGGCTGAGGGGGTCGCCTTCCTGAGACCCCCCCTCGCCCGAGGGACCCCATAATATCGATGCCACCATGAAGCGCAATATCAAACAGCAGCGCCTTCGGTCGAGAGATCGCACTGATCCGATCTGCACCGGACTGGGGGCGGGGGGGGTGCCCCGATTATCGTGAGGGCCCCGAAGCCCCAGCAGCCCTGGTTCACACCCCAGCGGAAGTGTTGAGGGACACCCTGGGCAGCGGCTGGACCGGGCGGCCGGGGGCCACACGTTCTTCCCCTCTTCAGCCTCGCTCCGGCCAGCGCACGAAGAGTTAAAAACAGGTCCCCACACACCTGCGGCCCCCCGGCCCCGCGAGAGCCTCCTGCCCAGGGCGCCAGTCCGGGGCTGCGGGGGCTGCGGGGGCAGGCCTGGGGGAGCTGTGTGTGTGTGGGGGGGGTTCATGGAGTCCGGGGCAGTGAGGGGGTAACAGGCCATCTGGGGCGGCGTGCTGGTCAGGCGTTGGGGAACCCCCGACTCCGAACTCCAGCACCCCTCGTCCTGGAGACAGACGACAGGGCAGGCAGGTCAGTACAGCAATCAGGGCTCCCCTTGTCTGTGTCCCACACTGCCTCCCTCTCTCTCTCGGCTCTACCCACTGTCCCACACTGCCTCCCTCTCTCTCTCGGCTCTACCCACTGTCCCACACTGCCTCCCTCTCTCTCAGCTCTACCCACTGTCCCACACTGCCTCCCTCTCTCTCAGCTCTACCCACTGTCCCACACTGCCTCCCTCTCTCTCTCAGCTCTACCCACTGTCCCACACTGCCTCTCTCTCTGTCTCTCTCGGCTCTACCCACTGTCCCACACTGCCTCCCTCTCTC